AGAGGGAGAACTGAATTCAAAGAAATTCATTTTGCTCTTTAATTGCTCAATGAACTTGAAAATGTTGAGCTTTAGGATGAGCAAGCTAATGGTGCTTTCAGGGCAATGTTCAGAGGACAGGACTAGTGATGTAACTCACAGAACCCAATACAAAATGAAAATGTAGCCCTGATCGTTCAAAAATTGTTAAGAATTACAGGACGATGATGACAGAGCATTAAGTCACATGCAATGGCATAGGTCACACACCCATGAGCCAGCCCAGTCTGAGCTGCACACAGAGCCTATCACACAGAAAGCATTCAATAAAATACAGTAGTTGTTGAATGAACAGAACCCGGGGCTAATTATTTTTGAACTTCTCTGAGGATGGCTTATATTTAAGAAAAACTGATTTTATTTGGCTTCAATTTCAGATTTTCTTTTATTGTTCTCCACCGTGGAGTTCTGATCTCTAGCAGGAATTTTCCCAGGCCTGCCAGGGCCAAGAGTAGCAGGAATGATACTCTCTTGCATTTACAAAGTGTGGCCACTTGGGGTCATTGTACCAACAAGGCAGAAGCTGGAAGAGTGCTGCAGGCAAGATATCCCCAGAGTGGCTAAAGGTGCCAGGAAGTGTTAGTTTATTAGAGCCAGTCTGTAAAGACTGTCCGTACTTTACATTTTGATGCAGCTCTACAATTATACAATGAGGGCTCTTAAACCATTTAAGAAACATCTGAATGATATTAGCAAAGTCTTGAGAAGTTGAAGAAGGTCGGAAAGTCAGCTACAGAGTTTCCAGGAGTAGGGACGGGAATCTTTCTGTGGAATCACACCCTACCTCATGAAACATGCATTTACAACATTAAGCTTAATATCAGAAGTATCTGTATGTGGATTGTACATTTAACAGCTATTAACTGGGCTGGCCGGTGAACAATAGAGACACTGTTTCTGTGCCTGGAAGTAGAGACAGCCTCAGTGATTTATTTACCACCACATGTGCCCCAAAGGCTAAGCAAGCACTGACTCCAAGGACAACAAAGAGGTGTTTGACTTCGAAGCCAGATCTTGGGGGCTCACTAAAGTGGATCAGGATCTAAGATACTAACCCAAATACATGGCCCCCTTTCCTCCTCCAGAACAGAAAACAAATTTCAGGCAGTTTCTACCAATTGAGCATTCAGAAAAAATGAGGTTCGGGCTCAGAGAACCCTAATACAAAGTTAGGATATTTTGTTAATGATATAAAAAAAGAACATTTGTATGATGGTTTTATTTTTATTTTACCAAGAGGAAGCTAAATTCTGGGCTTCCTGGTTTAATAGTAAATGCCTAATAATCCTAGTTGCTATCGCTAATGTTGATTGAGCTCTAGGCTAAACGTTATATACACATTATCTTCTTTAATCACCACACAACTTGGTGAACTAGGAACTATTATTGTCCCTAATTCACATTTGAAGAAACCGAGGCTTGCACAAGTTAAGTAACTCTTGCAAGGTCCGACATCGAGTAAAAGATGAGTTGGAATTTGAACCCAAGCAGTTAAATGCCAGGCTAGGGCAGCTGCATTCTCCAGCCTTCTTCTTAGTGCAGGGCTTTCCCAAGATTGGTTATTAGTCTGAAGACAAGCAGCTCAAAGTATGTCATTAATGACTAAGAGTTAATTTACTGGTGAAATCCTTACTTTACTGCTTAGTTTCATACTGGACACAGAATGCATCTCCTGCCCTGCCAGGATGCATCTTGGACACAGAATGCATCTTACTGCTGTATCTTGCCCCTGCCAGGAGTCCTAGAGAGAGATTTGGGGTGGATCTCTGGAAGTCAGTACACACTGCTTGAAAAATAATTCAACATGCATGAGCAATCTGCCCGTGTGTGCCCTGCTACCCTCCAACCTCCTCAGACCAGACTGATTAAGTCATTTATCTCTTGGATAAAACAATCTTGGAACATTCTTCTTGGCTGACTTAACTAATGGGAAAAACAGGAACTGGTGAACAGGTCCATCTTTTCCAACTTACTGCTGTGTGGCCTTGGACAAGCGACTTAATCTCTGTCAGTCTCAGTTACTTCAAGTTAAAAGATAGTAAAAGTGTCTGCCCCACAGGATTTAAGTTAGAGTTTAGTAAAGTTAGTACTAACTTAATTACTAAATTAAGTTACTAATTAAATTAGAATATAAAGGGTTTACCAAACAGTGCTCAGTAAATAGCTGTTATGGTTTTTATCTTGGCCTATAGCTGAAATTCTTTATTTTAGAGACTTTAGTAATGTATCACTTCAGAATAGGCTTTTGATGGGGGGCACATTTGTTATATCTATGTCCATAGTTAAAATTTACATAGTTATTTAGGATATTTAGCTTTTAATTCTTAGCAAAAATCTCCAGGTAATAATGAAACTGTCAGAAGTCACGAAAGGCCCTGGCTGGAGTGGCTTAGTGGTTTGAGTGCTGGCCTGTGAACCAAAGGGTTGCCGGTTTGGTTCCCAGTCAGGGCACATGCCTGGGCTGTGGGCCAGGTCCTCAGTGCAGGGTGCACGGGAGGCAACCACACATTGATGTTTCTCTCCCTCTCTTTCTCCTTGCCTTCCCCTCTCTAAAAATAAATAAATAAAATCTTAATTAAAAAAAGAAGTCACAAAGGGAACCAGCAAAAGCTGTTTCAGAAGGAGAAGTGGTATACAGACTTCCTCCCTTCTTCTTTCGAATTGCAGGGAAAATATTGCTGCTTATGTTGAGGTAATCGCTATGGGTAGGTGTTGAAAGAGGCCAAGAGTGAGGAGTGCCTAAGCTGGCTTCCCAGAACAGGTATCTGGAGCTGGGTTCAGATAGATAGTGTCAGGATTAGTGAAGCAAAGGGGAACCGGTCTGGGTAATGAATGCTCAGGAAGTGAATGACCCGTCCGGATACGGGAGCTGGCCTGTGGCACATGCTCCGCTCTCCTCACCTTGCTTTCCCCCTCAGAGCAATGAATTCTGGCCATGTGCACCAACTGAGCTAAGACAGCCTGCCATTTTCCTGCAGAGACAACTGGTTTTCTATTCTCTTTATAGGAAGGTTCAGAATTTGTCCTCATGTCTTACGTTTCAGTTTCAGGTTCAATTTTCAAAAGGCTTATCTTGCCCTCTCAAGAACTCAACCTGCAATTCAGTTGTGCTAACACCAGGTGATGTTGCCCCAGTAAGTGGAAAGGCAGTCGGCTAAGAAAAAAAAATGTATTTTACTACTTAATAGAACTCACTGGCAGGAAGGACCCAAACACTGGAAATTAGGAATTTGGCTTGATCCAAGGGTAAAATTTTAAATAACTGGAGGAACAGATGAAGTTGATATCTTCTGACAAAAGTCCTTAAATACTGTTTCTTGCATTGAAGCTCTTGATTAGAGTGGGTATCAGAGAATTTGAGGCAACATTTTTATTAGTACTGCACATTTCTGTTAAGGCAACTGAATAGAGCCACATTATATGATATTATATTTAATGTAAATATATAAAAAGCAAGTTTGAAGAAACTAACTTTTACAATTTGATATCATTCTAATTTCTAATTGTTACCAATCACAGAGTAATCGGATTCCTGCCATATGCGCAGACCTGTTTGGAATGCTTCTTTCCATTTCATCCTGACCTCTTTCCAATGGCTTCAGAGCTTCACTATTGTCAGGTTTCAAAACCCTTCCAGCTTTCTCTTAGATATGTACAGAACTCTATGAGGAACTATAGGATATTGCAAAACTTTAAAAAAGTTTCTTTGACCTAAAGAACCTTAACATGATGTGATGGTTCTGGTAAGCTTGGGAAGGGATTTTTTTTGGTTTGTTTTATTTCTGCATATTCTTGCAGGTCAAGGAAGTGAGATTTCCCAGAGATGATCTGGATTCTCCTGTATTAACAAGACAGTGGAAACAGGCTTGTGATGCAGCTTCTGGCAGAATGAGCAGTCGGATGTAGCAGAGCATCCTTAGTCTTCTAAGCCAGCATGCACTGAGGTCAGCGGCATTTTGGTTCCCTCGGGGCCAAGTGCACAAAAATAAGCAAAACTCCCAAATGTATAAACAGGAACCAATAAACACAAGTGCAAACTATTAAAAATCATTGGTAGAATGGATAAATATGCTAAATTGAATCTAGACTCATTCACATTGGGGAAACTGAAATACAAAGAGATTAGGTTCTTGCCAAATGTCACTCAGCTGTGAAGTAAAGCGAAAGAGCCAGGAATTAAATTGAGGACGCCTGTCTTCAGAGCTCATGATTTTAACTATTATACAATATGCCACCTCCCAGGTTTTTGTGGGAAGGAGGATGGAGTTAGGCTTCTAGTAAAAGCTCACTGAAGTGGGTGAGTTACACAGCTGGATAGTAAAGGGCATGGTTGACTTAAAGGGAAGTTCAGAGCCCTGGATTAATGGAGGCCAGAAAATAGTTGTCCTTCAGGGGTAGGGTTTGCACTCTCTTCCTGATTAATCTTCCTCAGTGGCTGCTTTGATGACAAACTGGTTTACTCTGCGTCACACAAACATGTCATTAAACAGGATTCTTCTACACTGGTACCTTTGTGCAAGACTCTCTTTTCCCATCTCTGATGCCCTATCCTCTCAGAAATTCCCACCGGTCCCCATCCCAGCTACAGCAACTTGGGGACACTTGGATTTAAGGATTTTGGCATGGAATCATACATTGCCCTGGGTCTCTCTTGCATCTTTGCCATTAACTGTCATAGTTCTTTGTCATTTTTTTTTTGGCGCTTATAATTTATTTTCCAAGTTGACTGGCCTCTGTGAACTTCCTGCCATCAGGGACATAAATACACCCAGAGCAGACATCATGGTCGACGGCGGGATTTTCCCAGTTCATTCCTAAAATAAATATTATTCCTTAATACACAATTGTGCTTCTCTTGAGTGCACGTTTCCTTTTTCTGACTCTCCACCACCGAGTACATCAGATCTCCTTGTTAAGCTTTCCCTTCGCTTTTATTACAGGTTGAGAGTGATTGTTTTATTTTTGTAGCAGAGGGTCTGGTACACAGAAAACAAGAATATATGTGAAAGCCAGGCTAGTCTCAAGACAGCAATTGGGACAAGCAGTGGGGTTGAGCGGGAGGCGATGCGCTTCTTCTCCTTGCCCTTCCAGGCAGTACCTTGGCCTTGGGCAGGTGTCAGGGCCTGGATCGGGGCTGGGTGACTGGCCCGCTCCTCTCCGTGCCCGCCCCGCCCATTTGCGCTCGCCTGCATGCTGCTCGCTCCCGCGGTCCCCGCGGTGCCGCGCCTCGCCGGCTCCTCAGCTTCCAACCAAGATGGCGGAGAGCGGCGAAGGTCTGGGGACCGTCCCGGAACATGAGCGGATCTTGCAGGAGATCGAGAGCACTGACACAGCCTGCGTGGGGCCCACTCTCCGGTAAAGCTGTCATCCTTCCAGGACCTCGAATTGTCCCCGCCAGCCTCTTGGCAGGAAACGGGTGGGGCAGCCTGACAGGTGGTGCACGCAGAGGCGGGCGGGGGCGGTCCGGGGCTCCTGCCTGGGACCCCTGCTTGGGACCCCCGCGGAGCTGGGGCGGGGCGGAACAGGCAGCTGCACCTGTAGGCTCTGCCGGCCTCTGCCTCGGGACTGTCACCGCGCAGGCGGTGGGTGTGGCTGCCACTGCGCCTCTGACCCTGGGAGCCGCGGCGCCACCCCGCGTTTGCCTCCCAGCCTGGGGCCTGCCCGGCTGCCTGTGCGAGGCCGGGCTGAAGGCTCATTGGTCGTGGGCCTTCGGGAGCGAAGGTTAACTGCTGGCTGCTGGCTGCAGAATGACTGATGTGCGGAGGCGCGCGCAGGTGGAAACCCTGGAGCGCTGGGCTGCCCAGCTGTGGGAGAATTGAAACTGAGCGGGAGATGCGGGTACCATCATCCCAGGACGCCATCTGAGTGGGCGAGAAGGGAGCGTGGGCTGGAGGGGAGGGTCTGATGCTTAGGAACGCGCCAGTGTGACCCTGCATTCACCCAGGAAAGCTTTTACTTATTTACGAAAGTTTCATTAATTTTGCATTAATTTCTCCGTTTATTTTCAAAAGGATCTCCACCCTTTAAAAATAGAACTAGGTAACGAATATTCCACACTGACTGCCTGCTGCCCTAATAATAGAATATTAGTTGACACCGTACTGATCTGTTAGGTTAGCCTTTTACATATAAGGATTCATCTTTTGCAGTGATGATCATGAAATTATGATTCACTTAGGGAACTTAGGACTGATTGTCCTTCAGCATTATTATTTTCAGTATACGCTTCCTAGAAATGGAGTGCTCTTATGTATTGTGGTCCTGTGGATGTAATGTAAAGTGAAACCGGTTGAACTTATAATGCAGGTCCATCTTGCCCTGAGAGTCGGGAGACCTGGGTTTTGCCCTAGTCCTATCACTGGTGAAGTGTGCAGTCACGGGTAAAAATCATTTAACCTTTCTGGACTTCAACTTCATTATTTGTAGACTGGGTGGGGGTGGATGTTTAGATGCCCAGAAAGCCCAGGACATTAGGGACCTTGTCTATTTATTCACTGCTCTATCCCTAACACCAAGCATATGGCAGGCACCTGGTAAATTTTTGTTACATGATGTTCTTGCTATGATATGATAAGTATGATTAGTGCATTTCCTTAAATTTTCAACATAATTATTTCTTTTTATAGAACTGTACATTTGGTAATGAAAGTAGAAATCATAGATTAAAAGGGTGCTTTGTTTTCTTCATCGTGTTGTGAAACTGAAATAATACAGTATATGGTATAATTACTGGAACAGTCCATTTTTGAAAACAGTATTGGTTATGAAGGAGATGCTTCCTCTTGGGAGAAGTGCTAGGCAGTACCCTTGAAAAAGGATGAAACTAATTTAGAATTTTGAAATATGTTGAGAAACTTTTGTGACACAAATAGAATATTTGTATTTACATATTACTCTGTTCTACTTTGCTGGACAGTTGTGTCACCTACTCACTTTTTTTGAAACCTACACTCTTCTCTTTGGCTAACTCCAGTGACTCATACTTATTCTATTTATACCCTTGTCATCTCTCATTTACAAGCTGACTCCACAGACATGGAAGTCACTGCCAGCAGTTCTTTTTCTTGAACAGTGTTTAAGCTACTATTTTTTCCCCTAGGTTCCAGGAGTGAGGTGCTAATATTAAATTCTAACAAATCTTTTATTATGGTAAACGTGAAATGTTTTCAAAGTAAATTAGTGTAATGAAACGCCACGAACCCATCATCTTCAATATACCACCTGGCCAATCTCATTTGATCTTTTCCTCTATCCATTTTCCCTCACCTTGGATTATTTTGAAGCAAATCCTAGACATCAATACATCCATAAATATTTCAGTATTAGTATTAATTTTTGTTGTTATTTCCTAGTTATCTTTCATCTGGCCTGTAGGCTTATGTTTTCTTAATATTTTTCTCTGTAGCAGCCTTTTTTTAGCCTGACCTTTTCTTGATGTGCTTTTTTTTTTAAATCAGATCTTTCTAGGGGAAGTCAGATGACTACATGAGAAGCATGTATACACTCTTGACAGTGCCTGGCATATAGTATGATTATTTGACCACAATGGAATTAAATTATAAATCCATCATAGAAAAGACTGGAAAATTCCCAAATATTTGGACACTGAATAACATACATCTAAATAAGGCTTGGGTAATAGAAGAAATTGAAAGAGAATTTAGAAAGTATTTTGAATTGAGTAAAATTAAAATATTACGTACCAGAATTTTTGGGAATCAACTACAGCAATACTTTGACAGAAATTTATGCACTAAACACCTGTCTGTACTGGAAAAGAATGGTTTCAAGTCAATAGTCTTACCTCCTAACTTAAGAAACTAGAGGGCCTGGGGTGTGGGAGCCATAACGGTCTGCCCTGTGCTGTGTGTGCAGATAGCCAGGGTGTGGCCTGTTATTTCCCGTGGAGAAGCCTGTGGATCTACATCTGCTTCATCTTGTCCATCTCTGGTCTGTCTCGGGTCCATCTCATGGGCTCCCAATGGGCTGGACCATGGTTGTACTGGGCAGGGGCATCAATGGTTTGGCCACCAGTTATCACCTGAGCTGGGACACCTGATCCCTGAGGGAGCACATGGGAGGCTGGATCCACTCTACAAGGGCCAGGTGGTGCTGTCTTAGAACTTGGGCCTCGAGGAATTCAGCTGGTGGGAGAGTTGGGAGTTGTGACCTGTTAAAGGTTTTTCCTTAGTTTCTCCTCTTCCTGAGGACATGTGAGGAGCAGGTTTCTGAGCTTGGCTTGGACTCGGAAGTGTTACGTGTCTGAGGCTATCCAGCTGCCCATTACAGTTTCCTGTATTTAGGCAGTGCCCTGCATGCCCTGCTCTCCGGGATCAGGGGGCCTCTCTACCCTTCACCTCTCCCCTCCAAACCTGTTTTGACTGGGCTGATGGAGTTGACCACACCTTGGGGCAAGGACCCTGATGTAACTGTGCACAGTTTTGCTGAGCGCCACCTTTGACCTGAGGTGGTATCTGTAGCCAGGGACTGTCTCTGCTGTGGACTGTTTGCAGGTAACAGCTGTGAGCTCAGCATATGATCCTGCTTTCCTAGTCTCTTCCAAACTGAGCAAACTCATCATTCCATATTACAGGGGCTGCTGCTGGGGGTAGGGCAGAACTCATCCAGACTCAGCTCTCAATTTGCCCATTCTCCAGGCCCTAGTCGAGCACTGACTTAAGTGGTCATTCAGAGAACTGGAGATACTTCCCCAGGCACTTGCCCCACCTGACCAGTAGGGGAGTCACTGTTCTCAGAGGCCAGCCAGTCTGTGGGCTAAGCATCTAGCCAGAAGGACACTGGAAAGTGTCTCTAGGGCACATCTGCCTGCATACTGACCATGTTATTAGTGCCGTTTCATCTTCAATGCTTAGCAAGCTGTTCATGTCCTGAGCATCATCACTGCTGTTGTCTATGAATGTGGTGAATCTGCAGTACTGAGGAACCTGTCAGCCTGTCCTGGGATTTGGACATTTGGTGCTCTCCTTAGAAGATCCAGGCATACTGGGAATTATGTACCACTCAGTTGCTTTCCCAGAGCAGGATGGGAGCCACCAGGAACTGTTCCATTACTTGGCACGGGAAGGAGCTGCCACACAATTAGGACTAAAGGAGCCACAAAGTCACTGCTTGGTCCATCTACATAGGAACCACATCCCCCAGTGTACACTAAGCCATGGGAAAAAACCTGTAGTCAACTACTCATTTCCTAGCTGCTCACAGGCTGCCCCTGACTCTTGCTGGAGCCTCCTGTGAGGGCGTTGCTGTCAATAACTGTATAGAAAGTGGGCGCCCCGCAGCAGCCCAAGCCCTGGGCTCAGAACCTGGCAATTGATCTCCATGCCCACCTCTTCCTGACCCTGCTGGCCAGGAGTCTTTCACCCATGAAAATAAAAGTGCTGGAGCTTGAAAAAGAAAAACTAGAAAAAGAGAGCAAATGAAATCCAAAAAAGCCAAAGAAAGGAGATGATAAACATCAGATAATCAGTGAAACAGAAAATAGAAAAACAATTGAGAAAATCATTGAAACCAAAACCTGAATCTCTGAGATCAGTAAAATTGATGAACTTCTAGAGAAAAAGTACCCAAAAAACCAATGATCAGGAATTACCCATTCCCAATAGGAATATCAGGAATGAGAGAGGTAACATCACTATAGATTCTACAGACATTAAAAAAGATAAGGGAATATTATGAACAATTTCATTCCAGTGCATTTGAGAACTTGGAAGAAATGGAAAAATTCCTTGGAATATACAAACTATCAAAGCTCACTTATGAATATATAGATAACTGAATAACGTATCAATGAAAGAAGTTGAATTTACCATATAAGACCTTCCCCAAAAGAAAATTCTGGGCTCAGATGGCTTTACTGGTAAGTTTTACAACATTTAAGGAAAAATTGGTACCAATTCTATTAGAACTCTTCCAGAAGAATTAAAGAGGAAGAAATATTTCTCAGTTCATTTTGAGGTCAACATTAACCTGATATCAAAACTAAAGAAAGACATTACTAGAAAATAAAACTATAGACTGATGTTATTCAACACAGATGAAAATACTTTAAACAAAATTTTAGCAAATTAAATCCAACAGTACATAAAAAGAATAATATGTCATGATCACATAGGATTTATTTAAAGAATGTATGTTGGCTTTTATTTGAAAAACCAGTCAATATAATTCACCATATTAAGCCAAAAAAGGAACATTATAGGTACAGAGAAAGCATCCACAAATCTAATATTCATTTCTCATAAATACCCTCAGAAACAAGGAATGGAAAATCCTCAGCCTGAAAAGGGGCATCTATGAAAAATTTGTAGCTAACAATTTATTTAATGGTGGAAGAC